TCCTGCTCGTTGTATCCGTGCCGCTCTCGAATCATGCATGCTGTCCGACTCGTGCCGTTCGTGTGTCCATCCAAATGCGGATGATACGGCCGCACGTCGTTGCGACGTTGCCGCCGCGATGTCCCTCGGCGCGCTATCTCTGGAGGTAGCACACGTGACCGTGGCGTTGGCGATGTCGGGCGGACCGGGGAGCCGTGTGTGCTTCGGGCAGAGAGTGCCCGCCTTGCTCGCAACTCTCACTCTCACTCTCATTCTACTCGCTCGTCCATCTGTCTCCCCCCGTTACTCGCTCTCATACGCACTCAGCACACATCTTGCTTACATTAATGAGCTCGCAGTAAACTCACGCCAGCACTATACCTGCAGATCTTCGTCACCAGCGCTGAAACGTAGGGCTATCCATGCATGTCAATCACCCGCCGCCACTATTCAGCTTTGCGCGAATATCAAGCTTTCTGACCTCCATCCTCGTTGCGCTTGCATCTGGAACCAACTATGTGCGTACTGAGTAGTCATTGCAGAATGCTTAGCTCCTGATACTCCCGCCTAGGTCTTCTCAGGTATGTCCGAACCTCGAATGCTTATCAAGTCCGATGGGGTCCTCGGAGCGACAGACAATGTGGCTGCGCGCCGCGTGAACTATTGGTTTGCCAATCCTGCGTGTTGTTGCACGCCTACACGATGCTTCATGCGCAGGTTCTGTGTATGAGCCGTGCGGCGCTCAATTGATGCGTGCTCCTTCCGTTGACTTCATTACGGAGTCAGTTACCGCTGGCATGACATCCTGTTCTTTCATTCAGGTTCATGCCTGTTGGACGTCCAGAGACATGCACACTAGCTGCTCGTCATCCGATGGAGCACAACCCATGACCGCGGCGCTGTCGGACGGGCCTGAGGTGCTGGCATTGCTGTGTATAAGGCAACGCGACGCTAGCGCAGCTGGGCGTTTTATAATGCCGTACTCGACATCGGGACTATCGCATATCAGCTTCAAGGGCCTTCTTGGACCATGCGTGTTCAATCCGAAGCTGGGACTCATAGTGCCTCTGTCCAGCGTACGGCCCACAACTCGGCGCGCGCCTGAAGCTCACACATACGCAGATCAATATCATTGGTCTCTCAGGAAACAGTACGCCTCTCGTGAATCGCTCCTTTCCTTGCGGTCCTGACTTCTTCCTCCAGTCGGCGTATACGGCACAGCCCCAATATGGGGTGGTATAGTCGACCGACGAGGGCCCAGGGTGCTCATGATCATGGCGTTCTTCTCGCTCCTCACCGGATACCTCGGTATCCGCCAGTTCTTCATCGACGGCCTTCCAGAGGGTGCTAGCAGCATATCGACGGTGTCTTTCTGCGTCCTCGTACTCTGTGGCTTCCTCACCGGCATTGGAGGGAATGGCGGACTGGTAGGCTCGATGAACGCCACGGCAAAGAGCTTTCCGGATAAGACAGTACGTTCCTTTGCACTCCTTTCACTCACGGTAGTACCGCGACGACTCACCTGATGCGTACAGCGTGCCACCGCCAATGGGATTGTCATCTCTGGGTTTGGCCTCTCAGCCTTCCTCTTCTCCACTATCGCGCGGACGTTCTTTCCTGGGAACACGGCCTCCCTCTTGCTCACCTTGGCGATCGGCACCGCTTTCCCCATGATCCTCGGCTTCCTGTTCGTCCGCCCGATACCTCCCCCTCATACGGACTCGACCAGGCGGATGGAAGACGGGACGCCTGAGAGCCCCGCTGACTACGGCGTTGGCGAGGGACTCGGGTCAGGCTCTCCCAGGGCGTACTCTATCGATAACACGAGCCACACGCACCTGCTTGCTCCGAACGCGGACGAAGACGGCGAAGAGGAGGAGCGGGAACCCGCAGTCGAACTCGAAGAGGAAGAACCCCTTGTGTCCTCCATACACCCGCATGCTCCATCGGACTACGTGGTGCCGGGTCAAGTTGACTCGGTCGCGCTCAGCCCTACCCGCGGCGGTCTCGCGCGGCATCGCTCGCACAGCTCGCGTTCAATATCGAGGAGAAGTATCAGGAGTAATGCAGAGAAGACTGTGGACGGGGAGCCCAACATTCACGGGAAACGCTTGTTTAAGACGGCCGAGTTCTGGTTGCTATTCACAGTCTGCGCCCTGCGTAAGAGTTACCTTCCTGTTCTACGTTGCTCATTATCTCACGCGTTTCTGTACATTAGTGAGCGGTAGTGGCTTGATGTGTACGTCTGTCCCGGCTTCTCACCCTTACCATGAGCTGACTTGCTGCAGACATCAACAACGTCGGCGCTATCTCACAAGCGCTGTTCGCGAACGACAATCCAGACTATGACGAGGTCAAGGCCGCGCAATGGCAAGCGACCCAAGTCTCGACCATTAGCGTGATGAATTGTCTCGGACGTATCCTCATAGGTGACTCCCACTCGGACATGTTCTCTCTGCTTTCCTGACCTTCCATCACGCGTCTCTAGGTGTGATAGCTGACTTCACCAAAGCCAAGCTCCGCCTTCCGCGCTCCTTCTGCATCGCTCTTGTCGCGGGCATGTTCGTCATCTCGCAAGTGATGTGCTACTTCATCGAGGACATCCAGAACCTCTGGAAAGCAAGTGCGCTTCTCGGCGTCGCGTACGGAGGGCTTTTCGGGCTCTTCCCGACTATGGTGATTGAGTGGTTCGGCTTGCGTGAGCGGTTTATTCGTTATCTCACTGGTACATACACTGACATGCCCTATATCCATGATAGCGCACTTCTCGGAGAACTGGGGCTTCGTCTCGCTGTCGCCTATGATCGGCGGGAACATTCTTTCCATTGCCTTCGGACGCAACCTCGACGCTCATGGCACAGACGACGACGCGTCCCCCGCCCAGAACAGCAGTCTCTCCGCTCTCTCCTCGCTCGCATCCTCCATGTCCTCTACACCTTCTGCGTCCACGTTGATCGCGGACGTCACGAGCGGTATTCGCACACGCGGCGGGATCCCCGGCGACCATCACTGCGTTCAGGGCCGGGAGTGCTACATCGACAGCATCAAGCTGACGATCGGCGTGTGCTGCGTCGCACTTGCGCTCGGGGTCTACGCTGGCTGGCATGATCTGCGGACGCAGCGGCGTCAGGCGAGCAGGGAGAGGATACCCGAGGTCGTCATTTGGGAAGACGAGGAGTGATGGTAAGACCGCGCTGGGTAGACTTCTCATCGTATTTCTTGTGTGAACGTAGATCTGTGTATCGTATATAGGAACTAGGGGACAATCCTATGGAATATCTGTGGCTAATCTACGGATGTCGATAGGGCTACAAAACGGGAGAGGTGCATCGCAGGGCATACAAGGGGATCATGGATGCATATGAGCGACAGTTGCAGAGACAGATTGCATGCGGGTGAGCGGAGAAGAAGTGGTATATGAAGCAGGGTATCGATGAGGACGCCGACCTGGGCTGATAACAGGCCACCACGGGGAAACGCGTTTGGTGGCTTGAAAGGCGCGCTTCAGACGACCATCACGAGAACGTGTGGCGTGCCGTACGGATCGTCCGCGAAGGCACATCCGGTGTCTTCGTCAGGCCTGCCGGCGCTCAGTTTGAGTCGTCCTCGGAAGCGGTAGAGACTTCGTCAGACGAGTTGTCCGACTGCCAGTCGTTCGAGGACGAATGGTCCGCCCTCAATTTCGCATGGCCGATGTCGCCCCTCTGCAACTCCTCGAAGTCTTCGGGACCCTCGAAGCGCAAGTTATCGTACAATGTGTCTGCGAATTCTTTACGGGTAGCCAGCTCTTCCGGGCTCGTCCTGCTCGATGGTCAGCTGGACTGACAGTGGCTAGTTCCGTTGCGGGAGTGCTTACCGCTCATCTTCATTCGGGAGGTAGTCTCTGATGTAACCGCCCCATGCGATCTGCTCTTGCTCGGCGTTGATCCACTCTTCCAACATGGCAGAGATCGCCTCCTCCTGTTCCGTACTGCAAGTAGAGTGGTCAGCCATCCCCGGTATGAAGTATGCCATGGCCAAAATAAACGCACCGCTGCACCGGAGGTAGAGGGTCCTGATAGGCAAACGCCTCGATGCACTTGACAAATGGAGACACGGAGTCGGTCATGATTGGTACTCTGCAGGGACGAAGACGGGATAGTTTTGACCTGCAGTCGCAGTCGCACCGAGTCTTATATTCACCAGCCATGGCCACAGACTTGCCTCCATCGAGATGTGGCGAAATGGTCGTGAGTCGCACCGCGCTTGGATGCGATGACACTAGATCGCCAATTGTGCACTGTGGCTGTCACGACAAACGCCTTTGTGCGCTTTTTATTCTGCAGCCAAAGCTTGGACGGGACGGGATATGGCCGAGTGGTGATGGAGGGTCCGACATGCCGGAGCTTTGGCTGACTGGTGGAGCCCGCAGAGCAATTGTGTCCACACAGCGGGTGGTGATAGCCTGAGAGTGCGACTCTCGAGAAAGCGAGTCACTCTCGACGAGAGCAAGCTCAAATGTCCTCGCCCGGAGGAAGACGTGGATGACCGTCGATCCTTCGCCACAATGCCGCGCTGGCTCGGCGGCCTCTGGGCTTGCAACTGCGAGAATATCTCTATCAAGTAAACACTCTGTCATCTATGAGTGCCTGGAATGAGACTATTTAACGGTCCACGAAGCGGGTGAGATACTTGCCTCCCTCGTCGAGCATCACAGTCCTTGCTACATTCATGAATGCCGCTGACGGCGCGCAAGCGGCCCTCTCAGAAATTTCCAGCTGTATCTTGTACGCTTCCCTCTGTCCTGTAGAATCGTACATGTCAGTTACTGGCCAAGAAGGTGGAAGACGAGCGAGAGTCGCCGCGAGAATCACGCTGCCTGTACGGTGAGCGCCTTGCCTTCCGGCTCCCTCTGGATCGGCAACTCTTCTTCCTGGCTAAAGAAAAGGCTGCTCAGCAAGAACAACGTAGAGGTTCGCACTCTGAGATCCCAAGACTTGCAAAGTAGGAGGGAAAAAAGAGAAATAAAAAGCGTAACCGACTACCCCCGGCGGGACTCGAACCCGCAACCTCCGAGGTCGTGCGCGAGGAGCACCATCATCTCCACGCGTTGCTCACCGCAAGGAACCTTGGAATCCCCGTGTAGAAGTCTGACGTCATAGCCATTAGACAACGGGGGCTTGTAGCCAGAGGTGTTGTCAGCGTACATATACTAACACTGGGCATCGAGCTGAATTTGCTCGGGAAAAATGTAGTACAAACTTGAATGTGTGCACCAGATCTAATACATGTTTGTTCTCAGAAAACACGATGCAAATGCGAAGGATTTATTATGCTTTCACCTCATTTGTACCGAGTTTGCTGTGGGCGCTTAAACGGCCGAGCATGGGTGGGGCCTGGGTCCTGGTGCATACCAGGCCTATAGGCGGCACGCTCAGGAGGAAATTCCAGTAACAAACAGGCGTGTAATTGATGCGGCGAAACGACAGCGGCGCAGAAGACAACAGATTCCCCTCCTCTCGTCACCGCCCTTCTTAAAGCGGCACGCAAATCCTCCGGTGATCTGCAACCTTGAATCCTTCTCCGTCTGTGAGCGCAGAAGCTGTCCTGTGTCCGTGTGGGGGCGGGAACGAAGAGCCTTGCGAGCGCGAGCACGATCTCCTTATCGTGTGCCGGATATGCGAGAAGATGAGTTGTGGCACATCTTGAGGCTGATTGAGCAGTATCAGAAGCCTGACCCTGAGATCGCTGGCACCAATGTTGAGCAGGGCTTGGCACGCAGCGGAAAGCCCGCTAGGCTCAGCTTACCTGTGGAGCACTTGATAAAGGCACACGTAGTGGTTGAGGGTAGAAAGCGACTT